GGAGCAAGTTCTCAGGTGATAATGTGTTTGCATTTACTGCTTCACTGAACCACCCTAGCTACTCAGTCCTGGGTTCATTAAAGCCTCAATTTTAGCTTTTGCTCCTAGCTGTGAGCTTCAAACCTTATTTCCTGTGTCCTAGACATCCAGCATAGCACATGTCAGGAAGACAGTTTGATTGTAGCTGCTGGTAACAAGGGGGTGACTGCCCACTCAGTGTTAAAGAAAAATCATTTGGGACTGGAAAGATACTTAAGATCACTACATTGGGCAGAGCACATTTCAGAATGCTTCAAAGGAATTTTGATTGGTTCCCATACTTGAAAGGACACGTTTAATAGCCTTTAATTTTCTTTCATTAATTAATTTATCTTTCCACAGCACTTTGAAGATATAAAGAGTTAAATGAATTCTATTATTGGTATTTAAGGTCTCAACCACAATCGAAAATTTAATATTTGTACACACAAAAGAATGTCAATTTTCAAACTCTGTAGAATCTGTTCAAATAGCCTGATGCAATTGTTATGACTAGTAATAGGGATATAACTGTATCATTGGCATCAGGTTTTTTGTCCAGAACATGCCACTGACTGGAGGAAATGGGGGAGAAAGAGGATACATTAAAGGAGAAAACTTGTGAACATTTTCATGAAAAATAGTGACTTTTTTCCCGAAAAAAGTTAACAACACTTCAAATTCTTGAACAAATCAGACACTTTAGAGAAAATGTGCAGTACTTTTAAATCTAGGATTATCTGTGAAATATTATTTGGGAATCCCCAAACTCCTTGCTACACTTGCAGAGGCCTGAGGGGAAGAAGGAATTGATTCTTATCGAGGAGCTGGGGCCTGGTCAATACACTCAGAGAGGCAGCCGTGTTAGTCTGTAAATTTAAAAAAAATAGTAGTCCTGTGGCACCTTAGAGACTAACAAAAATATATATAGCTTTAGCGGGGTAGCCAAGTTAGTCTGTAACTGGAAAAACTTAAAAAACAACAAATAGTCTAGTAGCACATTAAAAACTAACACAACAGGTAGAAGGTATCATGAAGTTTCATGGTCACAACCCACTTCTTCAGATGAATGGAGTTATTAAAAGTCCCATTTCAAAATAAATAAACTTTCCCTTTTTTTCCTTCTCTCCCCCCCTCCCCCCCCCCGGCAATTTATTTTGAAACTGGACCTTTAATAACTCCATTCATCTGAAGAAGTGGGTTGTGCCCATGAAACTTTGTGATACCAGCTACGTGTTTTGTTAGTCTCTAAGGTGCTGCAAGACTGAAAATATAGAATCAGCTTTCATGGGCAAAACTCACTTCGTTAGATGAGAAGTTAGAGAGTGTGGGTTTTTTTACTGTATAAACTACACTGCTAAAAGAACATTTATATACTGCGCTAAAGGCCACCACAATCAGATCCAGTTGAATTGCATTAACTAGAGTGGTACCATTAGAATGGTACAACTTGTGTTTGTAAACAACTTGGGTGGGGGATACTATTCCCTAGAGAACTGCGGCTGAAGTAGGAAAGGAAAATGTAAGTGTAACTGAGGCAAATTCTACACTATAGACTTCTGATGCAGGCAGGGCCTTGAAGAGCTGTGATCCCTGATTGGCATAGATGTGCCAGCAACAGCCACTGGTTTTCATGCAGTCATACCAGCAAAACTACCGTGCTTTTGTTGGTGTACCGAAGGGTATGTCTACACTACCAGTGGCAGAACTGCAGTGCTCAGACTGTGTTGCAGTAGCCTGTAGTGTAGGTACTTCCACAGAGACAGAAAGGAATTTTCCATCACTGTAGTAAATCCAGCCCATTGAGAGGCAGTAGTAAGCCAATAGAAGAATTCTTCCATAGATTGAGCTGTGTCTACTGTGGGGGTTATGACGACCTAACGACATATAACTGTAGCACCCTTATGGTCAAGATGGAGTGTTCTCTACAGGGAGGTTCCAGCCAAGAAAAGGCGTGTATAGGAATGCAGCAGGGGAAACTCCCATCCCGGGGCTCCTCTCTCTCTCTTTCTCTCTCTCACACACACACACACTCACTCACAGACACACACAAAGCATTTTCAATTTGCAGGGGAGCCAGGTCCCTGAGCAAGGGGGGGCAGATACATGCTCCCAAAAAGGGGCGGGGCCTTGAATGGAAGGGGTGGGACCAGGGCAGCCAGCCGTCAGTGCCGCCTGGACCATGGCACACTGGCCCCTCTATCCAGTCTTCACAATCACCAGGAACACAAGCGCAGTGCTTTGGTGCTGATTTAAAGGCGCAAATGAACACAGTCCTCTCCAAGTCATCCAGTGCCATGGGTAGTATCCACTGGGCAGAGAACCAAAGACTACTGTTCAGGCTATCCGAGGTGTCATTCACCCAGAGCACTATAGAATCATAAAACATTAGAACAGGAAGGAACCTCAAGAGGTCATCAAGTCTAGCCCCCTGGCCTCATGGTGGGACCAAGCACCAGACCATCCCTGATGTCTATTCCAACTGCTTTTAAATGTCTCCAGTGATGGAGATTCTAACAACTTCCCTAGGCAATTTAGTCCAGTGCTTAACTACCTCACAGAAAGTTTTTCCTAATGTCCACCCTTGCTGCAATTTAAGCCCATTGCTCCTGGTTCTATCATCAAGGAATTAAGGAGAACAATTTTTCTCCCTCCTCCGTGTAACAGCCTTTAGATACTTGAAAGCTGTTATCATGTCTTCTCTTTTCTAGACTAAACAAACACAGTTCTTTCAATCTTTCCTCACAGGTCATGTTTTCTAAATCTTTAATACTTTTTGTTGCTCTTCTCTGGACCTTAGAACATAAGAACATAAAAATATACGAACGACCATAGGTCCATCTAACCCAGTGTCCTGTCTGCCGACAGTGGCCAATACCAGAAGCCCCAGAGGGAGGAAAAACAACAGTTAATCCTTATGTGATCCCTCTCCTGTCACCCCTTTCCAGACAAAGAGGCTAGGGACACCATTCCTACCCATCCTGGCTATTAGCTATTGATGGACCTAACCTCCTTGAATCAATTTAGCTCTTTTTTGAACCTTGTTAAAGTCCTAGTTTTCACCACCAGGGCTGGCCCGAGCCCTTTTGGCACCCTGGGCCCGGGAGTGCGGCACCGCCCCCGAGCACAGGGTGCATGCACAGGCCCCCCCCTCCCCCAGGATGCGCGGGCCTGCCCCTGGAGCACACAGCACATGCGCTGCCAAGCCCGGCCCAGCCAGCGCTGCTCACCCAAGCCTCCGTCTGGCCCTGTTCACCACATCCTCTGGCAAGGAGTTCCACAGGTTGACTGTGCACTGAGTGAAGAAAAACTTCCTTTTATTTGTTTTAAACCTGCTGCCTATTAATTTCATTTGGTGACACCTAGTTCTTATATTGTAGGAATAAATAAATAACTTGTCTTTCCTGAAATGTGGCACCCAGAACTGGATACAAAACTCCAGTTGACACCTAAACAGTGCAGAGTAGAGCAGCAGAATTACTTCTCACATCCTGGTTACCACACTTTTCAGACAGGAATTGTAGAAACTACTGTGTAGTGCAGTTGTACAGCTAGCATAGCATTGCACCAAGTGACTTTGCTTTCATGGAAGTTAACTACTTAGTGATGTAATCAGAAAAGAGACAGAGGAAAATAATTCTGGACTGTGCCCTTTTTTGCTTCTTTTTGATTAAAAAAGAAGTCTAAAAAATTTGCTTTTTTTAACATCCTTCAGTTGGCTTTTTGCATTAGCCATTTGGGTCTCATATAACTTCAGAGAGTCTCTGAGGCTAGTGAAATGATGACATCAGAAAAATTATGTGAGCAGAGGTGAAAGCAAGTGCCTGGACTTTAGTAGCACACTGGCATCCTTGGCGAGGGGTGTCTGTGTGCTTTGGACCCCCAGGGGTGGGCCTTGGGCAAAAGAGGTGAGATGAGGGCCCAACTTCCTAGCCAGTTCTTCATGAATATCACCACTGTGGCAGTCAGGAGTTCAGAGGCTCTGATGATAATTTGAAGGCCCTGGGCTCCCGGCTACTGTCCCTTTTGTTCTCTCCTGTCTGTGGGCCTGTCGGGTCCTACCAGGAAGGCCACCAATGCAGGGAAAGGGAACAAAAGGGGGCAGTGATATTTTAATGTACAGGCTGGTACCATCAACAAGTTCTTACTGGTACGTGGTACTGGCCCACTTTCACCTCTGCAGTTGAGTGAAAGTTGAGACAAAAGGTGAGGATGGGAGGTTTTGTTAAGACTGCTCAACATCTCTTTTTTGTTTGTTTTTGTTTTGGTTGTTGTTTTGACTAGTTAGCACTTATTTAACTTTAATGACTAATTAATGTTGTGGAGAAAGGAAGCTTTTGATAAAGAGTCAGCAACCCTTCTTCTATTGATGTGTGTCAGCTAGCAATATCCATCCTCTGAGACCTAATCAAGCACTCCTGCAAAATTAGGAGAGACCCAAACTTAATTTTTCTGGCATTTTAAAAGAACAACAACAACAATCATCATCATCATCATCACCACAACTTTTTTCTGGGGTCAAACTCAACAAAATATCCTTCCAGCACTTTGTTATGTATTAAAAGTAAGACAAAGAGGACCCAATCCCAATGTCAAAGAAACCCTTTATGGACGATTGCTCATATGTTAATGACTGGGTAATTCCCTGGAACTGTACCTCAGTGTATTGCTATTTTCCTAAGTCAGTTCTGTTTCCTAAAGGAGTCCACAGAAGTCTTCATGCTCTGCCTCATCATGTGAGATAAGTGCCTCTCCCCAGCTGAGCCGGGACCTGTCATTTATTTAGCACTAACACATTCAACATGGTGCCCTACAGAGATGAAATGCACCCAGGTGCACAGCTCCACCAAACCAGCAGGGAGCTATTTAGAGAGCTGGCAGGGACCCGGCTTGCAATAGGACAGTACCTGTAAGACATTTTAAGCTACTTTCACCGCTGGTGCCCTGTATCACATACACTAGTGATTTTTTTTCTCGCTAAGTAGGCCAGTCACCCTGGGAGCAACCTGAGTCTCCGCAAAAATTCCTCTCACATTAGCAGTGAGGACCTGGGTATCACCCCAGATTGTTATTTTCCTTACTCCTACGTGTAAGGCATACTAGGGAGTTGGTGCAGGGCATGAGTCAGATTGCTCAGAGGGCGGTTTGTAGGGTCTTACTGATCCACTAACTCAGCCTGCTCCCAGCCTGTGCTATGCTCTGAGTGCTAGACTCTGGTCTTGTTTACACTGGTGAGGATCTTCGCTGACACGAATGGAATGACCTTGGATTGGCTTTGGTGCAAGTGAGATCAGCTATGCTGGGATGTAGCCAGTAGATGGCGCTGTTTCTTTCTGGGTTAAGTAAAGCTGTTCCCTACTGTTTCTATAATCAAGTGGGTCTGCAAGAAGTGTCAAGCTAATGCTGCCTATACTGCTGGTTGTCTGCAGTTGAAGCTACACAAAAGCAGCACTTCATGGACAAAACCATCCCAGCACACCGTACTCTCAAATGCTACACCCTACCCTTACTTAGCACTGCTCAGGGGGCTGCTCCAGGGAGGCATGGATTTGCAGGATTGAGTCAGATGTGAGAACTTCACTACACAATGCCAGGTGCAATTGTAACCCTTGTGTGGTTCACTGTCCCATGTAGTGGCATTTAGACCACTTACAGCAAGAACTAAGAAGAAGGGAGCTCTACATCCCAAGTAAAGAGCCAGCTAACATTATAGCTCAAGCTGTAGAAGCACCTATACTAAACTCCAGGACTACGTCTAGACTGGCATGATTTTCCGAAAATGCTTTTAATGGAAAAGTTTTTCCGTTAAAAGCATTTGTGGAAAAGAGCATCTAGATTGGCACGGACGCTTTTCCGCAAAAGCACTTTTTGCAGAAAAGCGTCCGTGCCAATCTAGATGCGGTTTTGCGCAAAACAATACCACGTTGTCTACACTGGCCCTCTTGCGCAAAAGCATTTGCGCAAGAGGGCTTTTGCCCGAACGGGAGCAGCATAGCATTTCCGCAAGAACACTGACAATCTTACATGAGATCGTCAGTGCTTTTGCGGAAATTCAAGCGGCCAGTGTAGACAGCTGGCAAGTTTTGCGGAAAAACTTGCCAGTCTAGATGCAGCCCAGAAGTTCCAGGTTCAAATTTCTCTGGTGGTGATTACATAATGCCACCAGCCATGGTCACCCTAGCTGGCAAAATGGTCCTGTGTAGATGATATGTGTTTGATTGGATATGAAGGAGGTGAGGGGGTCTTCTCCTAGCTGTGTGCTCCAGGGGAGCAACACTTCAAATTAGATTAGCAAGATTATGGGTCAGATCACCACTACACTCATTTAGTTGGGGCCAGTGGCAACTCCTTTGTAAGCCTCCCTGGGAGGTTGGCCTCAGTAACGGATGATGAGGAGGGCCGAATGAGGCCTTCATTGTCTGTGAAGTCATTTCATTTCCCAGGATCTGTAAAAACCTGCCGAACCTCGTCTCCAGGGAGACAGTATGGCTTATCTTTTACTGTGCATGGGCCAGGGGAGGCGGTAGTCCTGCCCATACTCTGCCCCGAGGCCCCACCCTCATTCCACCTCTCCCTCAAAGCTGGTGGGGGCTTGAATTCTGCTAGCAACCCAGAGCTCATAGTGGCTGGTGGCCTAGGGCAGCCCAGGGTGGCTCAGGCCAGCTGGCAAGCCTGGGATTTTGGGGAGTGCTGGGCCACTGTGGAAGTCTTGGGGCTACGCTGGCTCTCTGGGGAGAGGGATGGGACCTTGGGTGGGGAGACAAAGGAGGGGGCTATCCTCCCGGAATGAGGGATTCACCCTCTGCTTATGAGGCCCCAGTTTGGGCAAATGGGCCCAAATGGCAAAAAAGCCACGAGGGGAACATTATTTTAATGATTTATTATTTGTACTGCAGTTGCATGTAGGAGCCTCTGTCATGGACCATACCCCCATTGCGCTAGGTGCTGTGTGAACATGAGTCAGGGGTGCCTTTCCTTCTGACTTGCTTCGGGGTTACATTTCATTGATGCAGCAAACTGCTGGTGTGATGGTTAAGCTTGTCTACACTAGCTGGATTAGAGAGTCGCCAGCTGTGACTGCATAACCCTGTCATGTGGACATACCCTATGTGGGAGAGGTTTTTCCGTCAGACTAGGAGCAACATCTCCCAGACACCATGTCTACACTAGGAGATTATTTCAAATTTACTAAATTCGACTCCTGGGCACCCGATTTTACAAATTCGAAGTTCCGTGTCCTCACTAGGGGGAAGAAATAGTTGAGGTCTGGATTGCACCTAAAACTTAGATCCATCTAGCTGCATTGCTCAGGGGGGTGGAAAAATCAGACCCCTGAAAAAGGTACTTAAGTCCACCTAAGCCCTGATATAAACACCTCTAGGTCAATGGAAGAATTCTTCCTCTGACCTCACTACTGCACTCAAGGCGGTAGATTTACACCACCAGTTTAAGTTTCCTGAAGTTAATTTGATGTAGCAAGTGTCTACACAGCTGCATCATTTCTGTAGTGCAGACATCGTCGGAGAGGTGGTCCAGACTTGAAATGCTACTGCAACAGAGCTGTGGGGCTGTATGCCTAGGCTGAGGGAATAATTCTTTTGTTGACCTACTGCTGTTTACACTGGGACTTTAACTACCTCACTCAGGAGTGAGAAAAATCCACACCTCTGAGCAAGATAGTTGGGTGGATTTAGCTATTTAGTGAAGAGTAGGTGTGAGCTAGATAAGCGGCTGTCTATCTTCAAGCAGGTGTAAATGGTTGCTTTGCATGCCTCCATTAGAAAAGTGCCTCCATTAGTTAAGAACATAAGGATAGAAATATAGCCGTGTTAGTCTGGTGTAGCTGAAACAAAATACAGGACTATGTAGCACTTTAAAGACTATTTTTAAATATTTTTAAAGTGCTACATAGTCCTGTATTAAGAACATAAGAACAGCCATACTGGATCATACCAAAGGTCCATCTAGCCCAGTATCCTGTCTTCCGATGGCTAGAGGGAGGGAACAGAATAGTTAATCATCACGTGTTTTGATCCCTCTCCTGTCATCCATTTCCAGCCTCTGAAAAACAGGGTAAGGACTCCATTCCTGACTAATAAGTATTGTTGGACCAGCCCTCCATGAAGCTATCTCATTCTTTTTTGAACCCAAAGTCCTGGTCTTCACAACACCTTAAGGGAAGGAGTCCAACAGGCTGACTGCGCTGCATGAAGAAATACTTCCGTCTTTAAACCTGCTACCTATTAATTTCATTTGGTGACCACCTAATTCTTATGTTATGGGAACAAGTAAATAACTTTTCCTTATTCACTTTCTCCATACCTGTCATGATTTTATAGACCACTATCATATCCCCCCTTAGTCTCCACTTTTCTAAGCTGAAAAGTTCCAGTCTTTTTAATCTTTCTTCATGTGGCAAAGACCAAAGACTGGTCTCCCAGCACTGTAAAACCAGGACACATCCCCAGTCCAGAGACAAGGCCTACTTCAGGTGTGGGCTGAGTTAGTACGGTGCACTGGCACCTCTTACCTGATGCTTCCT